CGGCGCCCCCCCCCCCCGCCACAACCTGCTGCCGCATCCAGACGGGAGCAGGAGGGCTTCGCCCTTCGCAGCCTTCCACGGGACGCGGCGCGTTTTCCTCGCGGGACCGTAACCTCACCGTAAATGCTGGCCCGGTCCCCGTCACGTCCCGGCCACGCGTGAGGTTGGCTGCTAGTCCTCGCCTCCGACCGCGGGCCGATGCTGCGAAATCGCTTTTACCTTCGAACTTCGCTGCAGCAACAGGCTGGGGGGGGCCCGGCCGAGACCGCCCAGGGACACGCGGCCGGCCGGGCTCGCTTCAAGGGGTGCTCACCAGGTTTTGAAGCCACCCCTCGCGACGTTCAAGGGGAGAGTCTTTCAGGAGCTGCCTCCTTTCGGACGAGCTCCTTTGTCGTCACCAGGCTTCGGTCCTTCCTTTCCAGCTGCCTCTGTGACCACGGTCTGTTAAATAAGCTTTCTCCAATAACTCCAGCTATTATTGGCGCGTAACTCGCCTGTAAAAACTTCAAACCGGGTAGTAAGAAAGATTTGGACGCGTTTCTGACAGAAACATCCCTGTGGATTTATTTATACTCACCAGGTAATTCCCGAGCCAGTAATAAATAAAAAGCCCTTCTTAAGAAACTAAATAACTACAACAGCTAGAATCACACCAGACCCTCTGCGACTCGCACTAAAAACCCTCTCAACTGTATTAATGGGCACGTATTTTCCACAGCGTTTAGGACTGAACAGTCACGGACACGGCGGCAGAAAGGGGGACTCAGCAGTAAGCGCGTGAGGAGGTAGACTCATGGAATCATTAAGGTTGGAAGAGACCTCCAAGATCATCGAGTCCAACCGTCGACCCAACAAGATCCTACCAAGGAGGACGGCAAAACCAAAGCCAGAGCGCCCCAGCTCCGCCGTACAAGCGACAATCTCACCGTCTGGAAGTCACCGATTCAACAAAGACGGCAAAATCGTTAGTGGTTTTGCGATCGCTAACGACCGCCGGCACTAAAAGCAGCTATTCGCACGCCCAAAATTTACGGCAGCATATTCAAAAACTACATAAACCCTTCAAGAGCTGGAATCAGTTGGCTCGCGCGCCCTCGGACAGCTCCAACGATGATTACTTGGACTGCCAATCAATATACAGGGGGAAAAAACCCAGCCCTGAAGTAGTATTTAGCAAGAACAGATGTATACGGCGGCAGAACAGGTAAGGGAGACCTTAAAGAAACGCCAGGTTGGGAAATAAATAAATTCTTAGTCTTTGGCTGCAGCCATCAAACACCCAACCTCTACCTCGCTGCAAAGAAGAAGGCGTCTCGCCAGCGATCAGAGAGCGGCCGAGCACCTCGGGAGACAAAGGTTATTTGGGGAATCTTGTCCGGGCACGTGACAACAAAGTATTTCCAAGGTGTTAGAAGAGAACGATTTTAGATTCTAGCGTTGACCCCCCCCAACCGCTTAAAAGAGCGAGTTAAGAGCATCCTCCGGACAACAAGCGCCTGTGGGAAGGAAGACGACGTACCACCTCCATGAGATCGTGCAAACCGGGATCTTCGCAAACCATCTCAAGCCTTGCGGATTTTTGGTTTTTTTAAATAAAAATTGCCTTCCTACTGAGACCATGTGAGTACTATGGGGCAGAAAAGGCTCTTCTGCAAGCGCGCCATTCAGCCCGTCCTGGACGTTTCGAAAATAGAGGCTCGCTCCTCGTTTTCCCCTATGAGCAGACTCGGCTCCAGCCG